TCATTGTTGGAGAAGGAATTTACAAATACTGAAAAGAGAGGCTACAAAGAACTCTAAGGTGTTAGATATGGGAATACTGGTGTGGACTCGAGGTTTTTAACCTATATAGGTATATAAATCTACATATACACAAGTGAGCTATATATCTCTACACACTAGAAAGGGACCTAGTAGTAATGAGCACCCCACACACCAGATCTTGACTCCTAATACTGGCCTTCCTAAAAGGAACTAGAGTCGTTGGAGAAATGGCTACTACAAGAACTGGACACAGAAAGTAAAAGATAAGCGTGGAACACCAGGGGATGCTAGAAAGTGCTAAAAACATTTCCAGGTGTAAGGCCTTAGAAGGAGAAACTTTCTAGGGATCAAGTGATGTTCTCCTGTGAGAGAAAAAGAGAAGCCCAAAATAGCACAGAATGGCAAAACTCTCATGGAAAAGTAGCTTCGGTGCTGTAGGGCTTAACTTTACTTCTCTGGTTTCTGCTTTTTGCTTGGGTTTTGGCCAGGTAGTTCTTTATTGTTAGTGGTTTGGGATTTTTAAGGAGATAATACTGGGCATTTTCTACTTTGAGTGGTGGTGGTAGTTGTGGGAGCAGGTTGGTGCAAATAACCTCATCTACCACTATTGAAATAAAGTCCTTATGATTCTATTTTTGCAAACACTCAGCTTTTATAGCCAAGGTAGCAACTGGTGGACATTTCCAGAAACTTGAGAACTTAAATCTTCAGTCAGTCACAAGATTACAGAGGAAGGATACAGAAGTTTTTTCCAAGCACTGGACAACATGCCACACTCGAAAGAGTTGACTATTTCCAGACATTTCACTGACTGAATCAGAGCTCAGGCCACAACCATTAAGTCTTGAGTCAATGTGTGTGGCGCCTGCCAAGCCTCATCACACTTAGCCTGTTGGGTTGCCTCCTGGATGTAGAAGGCATCACGTGTTTACTGCCATGAAAGAAAGACCTCCTCAATAGCAACACTTAAGTATTTACTAGAAATGGATGCTGCCATTCTCTCTACTCATTCAGAAATATAACATGTAGCTACAGAAGAATTAGCTGAAAACCGCTGAATCAAGAATTTTTGTCAATTCTAAAAACCTAATTCTCCAAAACATTATTATTAAACATTGCACATCAAAGGATACTTATAATAAGGCATGTTAAAAAAAAAAACACAAATCAACACTGCTTGTCTATCAGTGAGCTTAAGAAACAGATTGCCAGTACCTTTGCAGTTCCTGAATGATCCTCCCCAACTAAAAGATCAGCCCTTCAATCAAATTTATACACCTAATCCTCCATTATTTGGGATCAGCAGCTGGTTTTCAGGTTAACTGTGGTAAGGGAGATCAAAAACAGCCATGGGAGTGGAGTGAGGTGCACTGATCTGTCCTAAAGCCAAAACATGGAAGAAGTATTCAAGTTATATATAAAATGACAAATTTCATTTCTACCTAAATGAAACAAGACTTTAACACGGGGTCCAGGTGAATCTTTTGTGGGCCAAGAGGTACTCCTTAATGCTTGTGTAGGATCTGTTTGGTATATTCATTCTGGTATAATAGGCCAATGTGGGAAGTAGAGGTAGGCTTTAAGGAAAAAAGCTCTTAGTACAGAGGCTTTTGATTCAACACTTACTGAATCAGCACCAAGTACAAAATAGAATTTCTAAGATTCAGACCTCAGTGGGGAGAGCACAGCCATGGAGGTCGGTCGAAGCTGTGGAAATGCAGCCCAAGAAGGTGTGAGCTTGCCGAGAACATGCCTTGGGGGTACCAGAGGAAGCCATTCCTGTGGTGGTGCCTCGTGCTGCCAACAGGGGGTGCTAGGAAAAAAAAAACACATGAGGCCGGGAGCTGCTAGAAAAAGCACACTGGGAGCAGGAAAAGTAGTCCCTTGTGGGGAAAAGAAATGCTGTCTCACCACTACCCTTTAGTGACCGAACTTCATACTGTGTCTGCTGAGGGGACAGGTCTTTACAGAGTCCGGATCTATTACTGCAGAGAAGGCACTGAAGGCTGGATTTGGACATGAGAAGCAACAACTTGATAAATGATACAACTATTAAACCAAAAAGAACCTAGTTAGGTTTTTTTAAAGACTGACTGACAGGATATATGCACATGCATGTTTATAAAAACGTCTTACATGATATACAAGAAACAAAGTAGTGGTTGCTTTTAAGGAGGGGACCAGGACAGCCAGGGGCTAGGAGGAGGGAGGTTTGATTCTTGCATATTTTTTGTACTATTTGAATTCTCTCCCATGTGCATGTACCATTAAAAATGGTATGTTAGGGGCGCCTGGGTGGCTCAGTCGTTAAGCGTCTGCCTTTGGCTCGGGTCACGGTCCCAGGGTCCTGGGATCGAGCCCCGCATCGGGCTCCCTGCTCCACGGGAAGCCTGCTTCTCCCTCTCCCACTCCCCCTGCTTGTGTTCCCTCTCTCGCTGTGTCTCTCTGTCAAATAAATAAATAAAATCTTTAAAAAAGATTTTTTTATTTTTAATTTATTTGTCAGAGCACAAGCAGGGGGAGAGGCAAGCAGGGGGAGACTCACTGCTCTGACACTCACCCTTTTGTTTCTAAACTTCTCCCCTTCTGATCACCTATTCCAACCCTCTCCAACTCCCTCAGTTCTTCCACTGTGCCCACATGAGAAACATCCCCTACCATCCTCAACCTCTTATCCAAAGAAACATCCCCTACCATCCTCAACCTCTTATCCAAACAATACCTACATCTTCTTGTTCTAACTCCGTATTTTTCAGATTTTTACCAGGACTCACAGTAAGAAATTTAATGTAAACAAATGACATACTCATAAACAAGTACACAAATGAACTAAGAGTCACAAAAAAACCTCGTTATATGTTACTAATATATAACAAATTCAGAAATGCAAAATTCCTTGAAAGAGTTGTTCATATGGTGCAATATTCAGTTGTTCTTTCTTACATTCTCTCCCACAAGGCTTTTCTCTTCTCCATCCCACCAAAACAGCTCTTATGAAGGTCACCAGTGATCTCTATAGTGCTCAATTCAGTGAACACTTCCCAGCCCTCATCCTACTTTGTTAACAGCATCTGACCCAGCAGTAACTCTGGTGTGGCCCGTCACTCCCTCCTGGAACGCTCCATTTGGCTTCCAGGGCACCGCTTCTGGAGAGTTCCCTCAGTCTCCTTTACTGCTTTTCCTCGTATCTGACCTCTAAACACCGGGGGTACTCCAGAGTTCTCAACATCTCTATGTAAGTGCACTTGCTTGGAGATCTGGTTCTGCTGAACAGCTTGAAATTCCAAGTCTATGCGAACTTCTACCTTTTCATCTCTAGCCCAGATCTCTCCTCTGAACTCTGGACTCGTATCTAACTCCTCTTAATGAGTTAAGAGTTTCATCTCTGATTTCACCTGTCTGAACCCAACTCCTATCCTTCCTTTCCCGCAAGTACTCTTTATGCCAATTTCTCCACGTCAGCAAATTCCACCTTTGTTCTTCTACTTGCTGAAGCCCCAAACCTAGGGAGTCAGCCTTGATTTCTCTTTCATACTGCACATGTAATCAGTCTATTGGCAAGGGCTGAGCTCTATTTAAAAAATACATTCGGATCCAACGACTACCAACCCCTGGTCCTAACCAGTCAGTCTGCTGCCTCCCTTGAACCTTATGGTGTATTTTCAACACAAACACGGCAGTCATAAGACACTTCATAAATCAGATCATGCTATACCTTTGGTTCAAAACCTTCCAGTGAATCTCAGATGAAAATAAATGCAGAAGACCTTACAGTGGCCTACAGGTCACCTGACCCTTGGCTACCTCTCTTACCTCCATCTCTGTAATCTCTCCTCCTTGTTCACTTCCATTCCAGCCACACTGGTTTCTTTGCCATTCCCTGAACATGCCAAACTCACTCCTAGGGCCTTTGTACTTATCATTTCCTTTGCCAGGGAGGTTCTTTCTCCACATATATGAATGGCTCTCATTTCCTTCGCATCTCTGCTCAAATGTCACCTCAGCTTCCCTGACCATTCTTCAAAAAAATTTTAATTTTTAAATAATCTCTACAACACAGGGCTTGAATTTACAAACCCGAGATCAAGAGTCGCATACTTTCCCAACATCAGAGTCACATGCTCTGCAGCCTGAGCTAGCCAGGTGCCCTCTTGACCATTCTTTTTAAAAAAAGCATCCACACTCCAGTTGCACTCTGTCCAACCCCTTTCCCTGCTTCATCTCTGTCTACGGCATGCATTACTCTCTGGCACCTTACACACTTCACTTGTTTGCCAGTGGTTCCCACCACTGTAAGCAAGACCTTTGATCTGTTTTTTTTTTTTTTTTAAGATTTTATTTATTTATTTGAGAGAGAGAGAGAGAGAGAATGAGAGAGAGAGAGCACGAGAGGGAAGAGGGTCAGAGGGAGAAGCAGACTCCCCACTGAGCAGGGAGCCCGATGCGGGACTTGATCCCGGGACTCCAGGATCATGACCTGAGCCGAAGGCAGTTGCTCAACCAACTGAGCCACCCAGGCGCCCTGATCTGTTTTGTTTACTGCTAAATCTCCAAGCAGGTAGAAGAGTACCCAGCACATAAACAAAACTAAGTAACTGCTGAAATGAATGACTTGCCTGAACCTACAGCTACCTTCCAACTGTTAGGTATTAAAAGAGGGTTTCCAAAAATGTCATCAAAAGCAAATAAGCTATCTTCATAACTAAATTTAACCTGGCACACTCACTTAGGCAATGAAAAGACGCCAAATGTTTAAAATACTGGCTGTCAAGAAAAATAAAAATCTACTCACCTGTACAAGAAAGCTTAAGCCTTATAACATCTCATTCTGTGAAGTTTACTTACCAGGAATTGAATATTCATTTTATTTATTCAACAAACATGTATTGGGCCGCTACAATATGTTAGGTACATTTAATTTGTTCAGGCGAAACTTCTGAAAGAAATAGAACTTTTTCTATTAACCTCTTCTCCCCCAGCTAAAAAGACTAGGGAGAATCCCAGATGCATGGATACCCATCCTTAGACTCAGTTGAAGCAACAGGATTCTCTACCTCTCCTGAGAATTTGAACCGACAGAGATACAGTCAAATGGATGGTAGACGGAACTGCAAGGCAGTGATGAAAGCACTAAAGCATGGGCAGCCATGTTCAGCAGTGTGCACGAGGAAAATCTGGAGGCCAGAAAAGAGAGATAGGCGGCAGATAAAGTGTGGAGAGAATGACAATATGACTTCTAAGGAATGGAACAGAGCCATGGTTCCTGCCTGGGTCGGTCCAGTGCTGTGACACTCAGCTTCACATAAGGTTTGTTTCCTAAACTTGGATTATCAACAACATGCTTTACAAATGGTTGTATCTTTGCCCTACAACCCTTTATCCAAGCAAGTTTGAGTTCTCTTCCTACTTTTTTTTTCCCTCTTACAATTTTATACAGATATACCTCACCATATATATATTCTAAAGAAAAATACTCATATAGTCAAGGTTAAAAAAATTCACCATTTATTTTTAAAGGCATTAATAAAAAGCTTAACATACTTTATACTAAGAAAGGTACAATATACAAATGGGCTGAGTTGAAATTTTCACAGATTGACTTTTCTGTACTACACGTGACTGAGTTTCTTTAATTACTCACATTTCCATTGTTGAGTTATTCAAACTGATTATTCCCTTGAAACACATGCCTGGTTATTTAAGCATGAGTCACATGCAACAAGGGAAAATGCAGGTGATTATACCACCCAACCAACGGTTCATGAAGAAGAAGATGAAATTTTGTTCATGTTGACCATGGCGCATCAAATACTGTTCTCCTTGGGAGAGAGCTGCCCCTGAATTTGGGGGAAAAAAAGATCTAGATATACATATGCAATTTAAAAAATATTTTCTTATACAATCAAAAGAAAAAGAAAGTGGAAAGCAATATACTCATCAAGGGAAATAAAACTAGAATAAAAATATGCTAATATAAAGACAACGCAATACTAAATTCAATCTTTATAAGATAGTTAAATAATTACACAAATTGTGAAATTCATGCAAGAATAAATGTGCCAGACTACTTAAAAAAAATTTTAAGGAACACTGGTATTTGATCTGTCCTAACAGAATTAAAAATATTACAAAATGATCAAAATCATGTATTAAAAAGAAAACACAAAAAAACAAATAAAAACCGGGGTGCCTGGGTTGCCCAGTTGGTTAAGCGTCTGCCTTCGGTTCATGTCAAGATCCCGGGGTCCTGAGATGGAGTCCCGTGTCAGGATCCCTGTTTGGCAAGGAGTCTGCTTGTCCCTCTCCCTCTGCCCCTCCCCACCCCCAGCTTGTGCTCTCTCTTGCTCTAATAAAAAAAATCTTAAAAAACCAAAAAAAACACAAAAAAAACCCCAACAGTGATTACAGTACAAACATCACCACCTAACTACAACTGGTAATTAAACCTAATCATCTAGAAATTAAAACATTATACATCTCTAGAGTTGAAAACAAGAAGTTTGAGTATCTAGAAAATTTTAAGAATTCTACATAATAGAATCTACAAAATACAACTAAAGCACTGTCCAGAGAAAACCTGTCCTAAGATACCCATTTTAATAAACAGTAGATAAGAAGGAATTTGTAAAACTTAAAACAAAAGCAAAAAGGGGAAATTAATTCTTGGTGTATCATCTGGGTCCACTGGGGTCCTACTATAGTTTTTGAGTTTCTTTTTTGAATTCTAATAACATAACTCTAAGGATTCATGACTATTTCTTAGAGGTCTGCTAAAGAACAGAGAAAATTTACTTAGAATAATAATGATAAAACTCCTATTTTGCAATTATGCTATAATGCTACTGGATTCTTTTACAAATCTAAAATACAGAATTTTAGTGATTTTATTATCCCTTATCTTTGAACACTTTATTCTTCTTCATCTCTGTATGTATTTTACTGTAACTCATTGTGGTAGCCAGCCTTCAAGATTGTCCCCAGTGATTTAACTGTCTCGTGTTCTGCATGCCCTTGGTAATCCCCTCCAGTTGACTCTGTCATCCCACTCCTGTGACTGCATTGGTTTGGACTTACATCTAAAGAACAGAAAAAGGTAGAAGGGACGGTGCAGTGTTGCTCACTCTCTATCGGATCACTTGCCCTGGGGAATCCAGCTGCCATGTTGTAACTCTCAGGCTGTGTATGGAGAGCCTCAAGAAGGAAGGTACTCAGGTCTCCAGACAAAAACGAGTGAGCTTGGAAGCAGATTCTCCAGTCCCAGCAAAAACTTGAGACAACTTTAAGTCTCATGGGAACCACCCAGCTGAAAAGCGGCTCCTGGATTCCTGACCAACAAAAACTAGATAATAAATGTGCTGTTTTAAAGTCCTAAATGGGGTAATTTGTTATTTAACAACAGATAATACACTCACTGATTATCTGCAGCTATGCTTAAAAAAAAGAAGACTGAAATAATAACAACATGGAAGGACAGAATCACCTAAAACGATGATGAAATAAATCATCAACAATGAGATGATCACTATTACATCATCCTTCAGTTCTCTTATTCTGTTGCCCAAAGTACTGGATTTTCAAGATGTTTTAAGGGAAGTCTGGAGACACCGCCCTTTATCCCTGAAGTTTTTTTTTTTTTTTTTAAGCCTTCCTTGAAAACAGTTGACAGTTCAGACTTTTTCATTCTCTGTAATAGCACAGAGAACAAAATTGGCAAACGAAATATTTTCATAATTATTAAACCAGTTAGAAGATGAATGCAGAGACAGCAACATCTAGACCAGCAGTTGGACAACTATGGACTAATGTATTTACTATCTAGTCTTTTAAGAAAAAAAAATTTTTATTTTTAATTTTTTAAATTTTTTTAAAGATTTTTATTTATTTGACAGTGCACAAGCAGGGGGAACGGCAGGCATAGGGAGAGGACAGAGCAGGGAGCCCAATGTGGGGACTGATCCCAGCACACTGGGATCATGACCCGAGCCGAAGGCAGTTGCCCAACCAACTGAGCCACCCAGGTGCCCCAGAAAAAAATTTTTAAAATATTATTTCTTAGTCTTTTCATTTTTTTTTTTTTAAGATTTTATTTATTTGACAGAGAGAGAGAGCGGGAACACAAGCAGGGGGAGTGGAAGAGGGAGAAGCAGGCTTCCCGCGGAGCAGGGAGCCCGATGTGGGGCTCGATCCCAGGACCCTGGAATCATGACCCGAGCCCAAGGCAGACGCTTAACAACTGAGCCACCCAGGTGCCCCTCATTTTCTTATTTTTGAAAAGTAATCTCTACAACCCAATGTGGAGCTCGAACTCACAACCCCAAGATCAAGAGTCACATGCTCTTCCGACTGAGTCAGCTGCCCTTAAGAAAAATTTGTGATCCCTACTGTAGACTAACAGTGGTGGTGACCTAGTTCCTATAAGCAAAGTCTCAGATGATGAGTCTTCAAAATGGCATATGCTACTTAGGTGCATTTTTTCCAACTCAAGAACTGATATATTTCTGAGGACAAAAAAGGAAATACAGTAATGTCATTCAGTCCTTAAACAGGGAGGATTTCACCATAATATTTTGTGGTAAAAACGTGAACTATCCCACTTTGCTAAAAAACAAACATGTAACAGTATTCATTTTCCCCTCTCCCCAGCCAGTGTTCACCTTTTATGAGGCTTGTGCACCAAAATTCACTTGATAAAGCTGCGAGTGGACAAATGTAGAAGAAAGATGTGTATACAGAAGTAAATGGAAGCTAACATATGATACAGAAATGAAAAGCAGTAACTGGACTGCTCATTTCTACTGGTGCTAATAAATGTAAAAATGAAATATTTTGCTGTTACACAACAAAGAAGGGACCTGTAATCTGTCCATTTAACAAAATTATGAGCCATGAAATCTCAAAAGTATTGTTTTAATGAAATCCAGGAAGAATCATCAAAATAATAAGAAAGAGCACAGTAAAAAATGTATTTGAAATCTAGAATCAGTATAAGATAAATACAGCCTCATGCATAACAACTAATGAACAGTAAGTTGACTCCAAAGAATGTTACCCACTTTAGATACACACACACACACACACACACACACACACACACACACACACACACATTAAATACTGGGAAAATACGGAATAAAAACTTGGGTTTGCTGTATTTGAATTCTCACTGAAGTTACTAACAAAGTTATTTTCACTATCTCTATTCTTGTGTAAACTGCTTGTAGAATGACTTCAAAATAAATACACTCAATTCTCATTATTCATGGTAGTTATGTTCTAAAAAGTCACTATATGGGGCGCCTGAGTGGTTCAGTTGGTTTAAGTGTGCCTTTGGCTCAGGTCATGATCCCAGGGTCCTGGGATGGAGCCCTGTGTTGGGCTCCCTGCTCAGGGAGGAGCCTGCTTCTCCCTCTCCGTCTGTCCCTCCCCTGCTTGTGCTCTCGCTCACTCTCTCGCTCGCTCTCTTTCAAGTTATAAAATCTTAAAAAAGTCACTATTACGTTTTTTTGGTTGTCTCCACGCTCAGCGTGGACACTTGCCACCCTGAGATCAAGCCCATGTGGGGCTCCCTGCTCAGTGGGAAGTCTGCTTCTCCCTCTCTCCTTTAGCCCCTCCCCCCGCCATGCTTGCTATCTCGCACTCGCTCGCTCTCTCAAATGAGTAAGTAAAATCTTAAAAAACAACAACAGGACAATGAATCTGTGAAAACTGAGCCCCTGCTCCTAGAAGAAATAGAGAGCTATGCTCAGGCAAGCCTTTAGTCACATTTTTATCAACAGATAAATACCTTTTAAAATGTGTGGTTCTGTTGAAAGACAAGTTACTTTATACTGATGATTCTAACACTAAATCATGGCCAAAAGCACTGTAACTCATGCCTGAATGAAGCTTAACCAACACATTTTCTCCGTAAGGCACCTCACAGTTTCTTGCACTTGGGAACACAAAGCACAATGTTTGGGGGCCACTTTAAAGAGCGAAAAGGCACAGAAATGTGAAAAATGTAGCACTAAAAAGACTGTGCAAAGAATGCTTGTTCATAGTATGAGATGAAAGATGAAGATGGGGCACCTGGGTGGCTCAGTCAGGCAACCAACTCTCGACTTTGGCTCAAGTCATGATCTCAGGGTCGTGAGATCTCTGTACTCTGCAGGGAGTCTGCTTGAGATTCTCTCTTTCCCTCCCCTTGTGCTCTCTAAATAAATAAATATAATCTTTTAAAAAAGAAAGATGAAGACAGAACATTGCTCAAGCTCAAGTGTGAATGTCTATGTCGGATGACTCAAATTTTTTGCCACTCTGCACTTGTCTATGAATGATATGGCAAAAGTGCTGTAATTATTGACTTGGGCAATACAGATAAATTTCAGTGAGCAGGCAAATCTGCAAATACATAATCTGTGAATAATGAGAATTGACTATCGATAAAATTTGAAAAACAAGAATTAAAAATAAACAAATATCTAAACTGATAAAAGGAAAATTATCACACAGATATAGGAAGGTAAACATATCTGTTAAAAAGGCAATAATCACTAACACCAAAAGCAAGGTCAAATAAATGATAAACTAGAAAACAAGTATTTGCAACTCCTATCACGGAGGGATGGTTTCCATAACATATAAAGAATTCCTGCAAATCAAAAAGGAGAAATCTATATCCCAGTTAAAAAGTAGGCAAAGGTGATATAAAGTTTTCAGCAAAGAAATATAGCTTTTAAACACATGAAAGGATGCTGAACTTTACAATAAAATAAAAAAATTATAGTGACATAACCATTTCCAACTGTTAGATTGACAAGAATCCAAAGGATTATTGAAAAGAATGCCCTCTCCCACTCCCCCTGCTTGTGTTCCTGCTCTCGTATCTCTGTCAAATAAATAAAAATCTTTAAAGGGGGGCGCCTGGGTGGCTCAGTCATTAAGATTATTGAAAAGAATGGGGGAAACAGGAACTCTCAACGTTGGTGAGAATATTAAAGATAGTCTCTACTGAGAGCAACATGGCAAAAAACTATTAAAATTCTAGATTCTATTAAGGTAATTCTAAAAATGTATTCACAAATCTACAAAAAGAATTCTGTAAAAGAATACTAACTGTAGCATTAAATAGCAAACCATTGGGAACTGCCTAAAATTCCATCCATAAGAGCTCAAATAAGTATGGGCCACATCTCTACATGAAAATACCATGCAACTTTATTTTTTTTTTTATTTTTTTTAAAGATTTTATTTATTTATTTGAGAGAGAGAATGAGAGATAGAGAGCACGAGAGGGAAGAGGGTCAGAGGGAGAAGCAGACTCCCCGCTGAGCAGGGAGCCCGATGCGGGACTCGATCCCGGGACTCCAGGATCATGACCTGAGCCGAAGGCAGTCGCTTAACCAACTGAGCCACCCAGGCGCCCAATACCATGCAACTTTAAAAACAAGGCAGTTTTAGATACTGGTATGGAGTATTCTCCAAAAAATGTTGAGGAAAAAGCACTTACCTATTAGAGAATACTGTATGAATTACCTATAAAAATGAAAAATTTAAAAAGTTGAAAGGAGTAATAACAGAAACATCTTACCAGATTTATTTCAATGACATACTTATTTTTACTGTCAGTAAATGTACACAGCACACATACAAGCACAAGACATCAAAGGGTACGCTGTGAGGTCTCTCTCACATGCCTACCTTCTAGTCCCTCTTCAGAGATAACTTGAGTATCACCCTGAAGTGACCCTCAATGCACACACAGACATGTTCCTAAATGTATATTTACATAAAAGGCAGGGAGACTACACTTCTGCATCTTACTTTTTTTCATTTAAATGGATCTTTCTATAAGATTGCTCTATATAACAAGGAACAGTGTTGTTTTTTATTTATTTGAGAGAGAGAGAGAGCACACAGCGGGAGGAAGAGCAGGAGAGGGACAAGCAGACTCCACGCTGAGCGCAGAGCCTGTCCCCACGACCTCAAGATCATGACCCGAGCCAAAATCAAGAGTCGGAGGCCTAACCGACTGAGCCACCCAGGTGCCCCAACAATGTAGTTATTTAAAAAAATAAACTGAATACAAGTATCCCCATGCTTTTTGAAAGTTTGTTAGGCCACTTTGCTTTATACCAAATACCCACACTAGCAGCACCTGTTTTCACTAACCAAAAGAAATCCGAAGATTTACTTTTTTTTTTGTTTAAGATTTTAGTTATTTATTTGACAGAGAGAGACACAGCGAGAGTGGGAACACAGCAGGGGGAGTGGGAGAGGGAGAGGCGGGCTCCCCGCAGAGCAGGGAGCCCGATGCGGGGCTCAATCCCAGGACCCCAGGATCATGACCTGAGCCGAAGGCAGACGCTTAACAACTGAGCCACCCAGGTGCCCC